ATTTGCTTCTGAACTCAACCATGATCCGAAATATACCTACTACTCGGTGCTGGGCGCCTATTACCTGAAAATGAAAAATCACACAAAAATCGGTTTTATAAAAATGAAAATAATTTTTGTTGTGAAAGAAAACTTGCCGCTTTTAAAAAATCAATTTTTAGGTGATTTTTTCATTTTCAGGTAATAGGCGCCCAGCACCGAGTAGTAGGTATATTTCGGATCATGGTTGAGTTCAAAAGCAAATAACTCAGCGACTACATAACCGATTTTGAAAAATTTTGTACATATGGTTGGGGGAATTTTAAAGTTCATAGTTTCATCGGGAAATTTGTTATCCAATTAGAACACAGATAACAGATAATTCGGTTGGAAAATGTGCCTAAAAATACTGAAATACCTTTTCTAAATATTTCACTGAAATTTCATAAAATGTATTTATTAATTTCTTTTAATTTACAAAAAAATATTAATCATCGTTTGCTCCAAAATACCTAAAAATTGGACGGCCCTTTATATGGGTGGGCCTCTAAGGATTAGTTTTTGCACAGATATATGCAAATTAGAGTGTTTTGGGGAGCTACGACAAAACCAGGACCCATATATCTCATTTGCAATGCCAAAAATCCTACCAATATCAGCACAGAATTTCAAATCTCTATCTTAAACATTGAGAGCTCTTTCGTGACAAGCGGACAAGTCAAAATCGACATATAATTTTATTCTAAAAAATAACATGCATATACACTATATGGGGTCTTAGGATTACTTCTAGGTGTTACAAACATATTGGGGAGGGTCATCTAAAATATATTGTGATTATTATTTCATAAAGTGTATTGACAGTTTTTTTTAAATTAATTAATTTTGTTAATTATAATTTTATAAATGTTTTAATATCGATACACATAAAAACTACAAATTCTTTCCTAACTTATAGTGAAAGTTACATGCCAATACATGCATTCATTACTGAGATATAGCCATTTGAAGTTGATGTTGTGTCAAAATATAGCTGCTAGCGGGTCTATCTGCCAAGATTTGGTATTTTATCCTTCGATGTCTGTAATATTAAATTACAACCACTTTGATTAGAAAATCGGTGAATGGGAACAACATTGTACCAATTGAAATGATGTCAAATTGCCAAAATTGCACCACAACATGTTTTCTTTATTTCCTGCATATTTCCTTACTAGCCCTATTTTTTTCTCAAAATGAATTACTTTCCAATGACAACAAACATTCAGCAACAATCTAATATTCAAATACACCAATTTCCAGACTTTCAAAGCTAATTTAACGTCTATGCAAATTATCACGAATTCCTTCGTTCTCCGTTGTGAAAATACCTGTTTATCAATACACATAACAATTACACAATCTCCCCTAACCAACGGTAAAAGTTTCACGTCAATACATGTATTCATCACTGAGTTATAGCCATTTAAAGTTAACCTTGTGTCAAAATATAGCTGCTACACGATTCTGTTGGCCTGGTACCTCAAATTGGAAAAATGCTTGAAATTGGCATTTTCACAAAAGCGAAAAAGTACGAAACTTCAGCATCATTGCCACATTGTTCGATTTTTCTTTGATTTGATGGTTGGTTTACAAATTCTGGGCATACTTTCAGGCGCATCATTTAAAATTGTATCCATGTGAATGTTATATGGCTCGTGATTTTAATGTAACGCCTAAAGGTATGCTCAGAAATTATGAACTAACATTAAAAACACTATGGTTGCGATCTGGTAACATTGCAATATTTTATGGTTTTGTCCATGTGCGATTTCTTCATTTTTTCAATTTGAGGTACCAGGCCAACAGAATCGTGTAGCCGCTATATTTTGACACAAGGCTAACTTTAAATGGCTATAACTCAGTAATGGATGAACGTATTGACATCAAACTTTTACCATTGTTTAGGGGAGATTGTGTAGTTTGTATGTGTATCGATAAACAAGTATTTTCACCACGGAGAACTAGGGAAATCGTGATCATTTGCAAAAACGTTAAATTAGCTTTGAATGACTGGAAATTGGTGTATTTGAGAAAATTTTGATATTAGATTGTTGCCGAATGTTTGTTGTCATTGGGAATTAATTCATTTTGAGAAAAAATGGGGCTATTAAGGAAATTTGTAGAAAATAAGGAAAACATGTTGTGGTGCAAGATTAGCAATTTGACATCATTTCAATTGGTAAATTGCTGTTCCCATTCACCGATTTTCCAATCAAAGAGGTTGTAATTTAATATTATAGACTTCGAAGGATAAAATACCAAATCTTGGCAATAGAAACGCTAGCAGATATATTTTGACACAACATCAACTTCAAATGGCTATATCTCAGTAATGAATGCATGTATTGGCATGCAACTTTCACTAATGTTAGGAGAGAATTTGTAGTTTTATGTGTATCAAAAATTAAAAAAATTAACAAAATTAATTAGTTTAAAAAAATCGGTCTTTAAATTGAGGGAAATTTGTGTTTTAAGAACAAAATTAAATCAGATTGCTGTTGAAGTTTAGAAGTAAGGAATTTTATTTGTTTTTGTGCAAAAATAAGGATAATTGAGGGAATGTCAGCAGTAGAAGTTCAATTACTATACGTCATGAGACGTTGTAAAATATCAATACAATTTATTTATTCTATGTCGATTTTGACTTGTCCGCCTATCTATGCGTCCGTCCGTCCGCTTGTCACGATAGAGCTCTCAATGTTTAAAATAGAGATTGGAAATTCTGTACTGATATTGGTAGGATTTTTGGCATTGCAAATGAGATATATGGGTCCAGGTTTTGTCGTAGCTCCCAATAAAACAGTCCCGCCCAGTTGTCAGTATTTTGAGGCTTTTGTAGCATTTCCCAGCCGAAACACTCCAATTTGCATATATCTGTACAAAAACTAATCATTATAGGCCCAGCCATATATAAAGGGTTGTTAATCAATATTGATTTTTCTTAATTAAAACAAAATAATAAATAAATTTTATGAAATTTCAGTGAAATATTTAGAAAAGGTATTTAAGGATTTTTAGACACATTTTCCAACCGAATTATCTGTTAATTTAAATTCTGTGTTCTAATTTGATTACAAATTTCCCGATGAAACTATAAACTAAAAAATTCCAATTTTATAAATCCAATATTAGGCGGATGGAATGTCCAAACTCAGCACATCGCCATATTCTTATCAACTCTAAATCATGTTCGAAGGTGAGACTCGGTGGTACTCTCTTTTTGGTATCTCCTGCACATAGGGGACAACATTTTACAATCCTGTAAATTTAATTTGAAACAAAATAAATGTTTGGACATCGTAATATTTTACCAAACTACTTTAAATCCGCAGATGGGATCTATAGGGCAAGCTCTTCAGGAACCGCTCCAAAGATGGTCAACTCCTTTATAAATTCCGTGTATAATTCTCTAGGGCTGTGCAAACTATAGACTAAGGACATAAATTTTTCGGCAAATACCGACTGACACTTTTGACTTGTTTAGTGTGAGATCGTTATATTGAGTACAACTGTTTTGCTCCATCGTTCAACTGGAGTCACTGTATTCCTTACATTTCCCCTTCTTAAAAGCTTCCCACAAATAAACAACTACTATTTTTTTGTTTTATAATTTTAATTAATTTATTAAAAAAATATTTTAATAATAATTCGTTTTAGGGTTGTGTGTGTGTGGGTAGAGTGGAAAAAATAGATCACAATTAAATTATTGACTGTAAAAAAAACGAGAAATTAAATTAAGATTTTTTTCTTGTGGTTTTCTTTTATCTAGTAAAAAATATATAGTTTTTTCTTTTAATTAATATAAAAAAGAAAATTTTCTTGATTGATTTTCACAGAAAATCAATGCAAGAAAGACGAAATCTTTACATGGAAAAAAAAATTAATTTGAGCGAGCTTTTTTGTTGGTTTTTGTTTTTTAAGTACAATACGGATTTGTATTTTTTTTTTTTGGGAAAGAAATAAAAAATATTGAGCATACAATTTTTTTCTTCTTCAAATTTACAAATAGAAAAAATATATGTTTGTGTGTGTGGGTGTTTGGAAGGAACTCTTAAAAAAACAAGAATAAAAAAAAATATTTTTTTTTACATAAAATCTTTTTTAAGCTAGCAGTTTGTTTTTTCAAATATGTTTTCTTTCTTTTTATTATATAGTTTCTATATATAAAACATAAATACATATACATACAATTGTTATTGGATAGATAGGTACGCATATAGAGTTCTTTTGTTTGTTTTTTGTTTCTATCTCTCTGCTTACAAAAAAACAAAACACATTTCTATATTTTTTCTATTTTTTGTTTGTTTTGTTTTCTTCCATTTTTTCTATGTTACCATTTTGTTTAATTTTAGATTTAATATCATACAACTTAAAGCAATAGTCTTTTTTCACTTATAGTTTAAATTTCGTTTAGTGGAGCAGTCAGTCAGTCAATGCAGGCATGGATGCTGTAATCGTTTTGTTCCGTTTTCTTTTTCAAGAACGAACAAACAAGCGACTAGTTCTTCTTTTTTGTTGGTTTGTTTGTTTTTCTTTTATACCCATTTAGTAACTGGTGGCTTACAATTACAAAAAAAGCTGTAATTTTTTCCTCTCAACTAAACCTTACACTTAGATTAAGATGTTTCTTGGGGGGAGTGGCGGGTAAGAGGTTGTTGTAGCGGCGAGGATAACTTAAAATTTAGTGATTACTTAAATTATGTATATAAAAATAATATTACAAATAATATTTTCAAAAAGAGAAAAGAAGAAAGGAACAGAAGAATTCGAACATTATTTGAGCAGCTACATTTTTTACAGAACCATTGGAGGGAAGCCCTTTTGGTTGTACTCGATGAGCAGTGGTGAGTGTTTCGACTCCGACTGCAATTCCTCTTTTTCTTTCTGTTTGTTTTTAAATTAAATTTAAGTTGATGATTTTCTTATGTGTCTTCTTCAATGGCGCGCTGATGATGATTATAATGAGGATGTTGCTGCTGTGGCTGGAGTTATTGGCTGCCATTAAATCATATGTGATTTGTTGACGAACCAGCCGAGGCCGATAACTGTTCCAGGCGGGCACACAGCTCTGTGGCCAAACGCATTTGAGTGGCAGCTGCAGCACAGGAAGCGGCACTGGGATTGCAGGCATTTGTAATGGTTGTGGTAGCAGAGGTGGTGGCATTAAAGTGGGCAGCAGCTTCAGGATAAGTGGGACAGACACCCAACCAACGAGCTTTGCCGCAGGCATGTGACTGTAATCAAAGGAAAGAGGAAAAAGCAGATTAATAAAATATTCCCAATTTTCGATGTTCAATTTTTTTACAACTTACCATTGTGAAATCACGTTTCCATTGGACACCACATTGGCCATCACATAGGGGGCAGGGACGTTCAACACTATAACCACCACATTCACTGCAGTCTAAGGACACATGATCATCGGTCCATGAAACACCGCAGGTAAAACAGGAGCCCATATGCTGGCGCAACTCTTCAATGGTTAAGACATTATCCATGGAAATTTCCAGGGGGCTGCCAACCAAATCCGATAATGATGAGGACATACTCAGGCTAGTGCGTCTGCAATGAAAGAGAAAAAGATTAATAACATGACAAAACAAAAAATCATTCTCGTGACACGCTTTAAACATTCCACCATATGATGATTTATAATGTACTGTGGAGGGGGGTTCTAGTGATATCAATATCAATTTGAATGACGTTAGTACAAGAGATTTACGTTGAAAAAGGGTTTATAAATTTAAATTAAATCTTATCTGTTCTTTTGGGTTTTTGCAAAAAATGTTTGTTGTTGTCATTGTTTTCAATAATCAGTATATTGAGTGGAAAAAATAAAATCAAACCATATTTTTAAATATATAGTTAGGGGGCGTACGCTTTGTCGTAAGGTTTTTATGACATTTGTTATCTTAAATATTTCTTTAATAGATTATTTAAACAAAATATACAACGTCATGTGTAAATTTTATCAATTATACAACTAGTTTTTGTGATAGACATAATTCAGCATTAGAATATAATCTCTAAGATAGGTATTTAACTATCTTTAACTAAATATAACAATGTTAGGAAAATCTAATCGACTCATGACTTATCAATTTCCAACGAACTCGAGAAGTTTTATACAAAAAAGTATTTCTTTTTATGTATAAATTTAAATTTTTTATGATTCAAATTATCCATCTCCGATCAAATCTGATATCCCATGATTCAAATTATCCCTCCCAGATTATATCACATTTTCCAAAATCTTTTTATTTTTGAATGGAACTATCCATCCCTGATTAGATCTCCTATTATTTATTTTAATTTTTATTATTTTATTTTAATTTTTATTACAAAAATATCTGTTAACTTTAAATAATAAAACCCCTTAATTTCTCAGTAATTCAAACCATCCATCCCTGCATTGATCTCATTCAAAAGAACATGGCTCTCTGTTATCAAAGAAAACGGTACTTCTTCTTCATTTCCTATCAATGTAATAACTAATCAAAAAAAGAGATACACCTTATAAGTCAATTAAAGTTTATTGACCTACTGAGATATACGGTAAACAATGAGAGAGATAGAGTGACAAAGAGAGCGATATTAACCGTTGTAACATAATTGTGATTAATTTTGATTGATTACTGTAACAATTATGTCAAAGTGTATGAGGGATGTAAGTCAAAGAGAAAATGATAACTGTTTTATGGATTAAGCGGCCGGGCAATAGATCAAATTTGATGACAATAGTAAAAATGTAATATAATGCTCAGAATTGTAAATAGAAATGGAACCAATAAAATAATAGGCAAGAGATGCAAATAATGAAGTGGCCATGCGTCACATCAAATTATTTCATTTTTGTAATTGAAGTGACCGAGCAATAAATCAAATTAATTAATTTAAATTTGAAATTTCGAAAATAGGCTGATTGATTTGAAATTATCTATATATTTCAATACATTTCAAAAATGAAGTTTCTAAAATATGAATATTTTTTTAGCTATTTCCTGAGTTCAACTTATTAGAATTTTGGAGTTTAATAAATTTAAAATATAAAGAAATAAATCATTTTCAAGGCAATAATTTTAATGAATGGCAGATCTATATTCTTTGACCCCCCCTCTCTACCATTGAAAATACTAAGCAAACAATGGTGACTAAGCGAAATTAAGGTAAGATAAACCAACAAAATTAATGGTTTAAGAGAATGGAATATGAAAAAAGGCGTTATCACATAGTTGTTGTTATTGTTTTAATTTTTTTTAATGGAACTTACCCCAATGGACAGATATCGGTGAATTGTGGACCATGTACACTGGCTAAAGACATTGTTGTGGCTGCAAATAAAAAACAAGAAAATAAAATAATTAATGATAAATGCATGCTAATAAAAAACAAAACAGAAGAATACAAAGAAAAATATGTCAAAATCGAAATAACCCGGAAATAAGAATATATAGTAGAAGAAGTAGAAGAAAAAAAATAAAATAAAACGAGTCAGTAAGTCACAATAAGTTTTTACGATAATATTTGTTGATTTTTTTTTCTCATTAACCCACAAAAACTAGTTTTGTAATTATGTAAAAAAAGAGTTGTATAATTAGAATAAACAAGAAAAAACTGGGTGTAATGAAGATAAATTGAACATAACCTAAAACATATCTAATGCGAGAGAAAAAACATTAATATCAATAGTTATTTAATCTATTGGAAACACAATTGGGTCTTGCCCATTCATGCTGAGAATACATAATATTTTAAAGTGAAACCAGTTTGCGTTTTTTTTTTCATTAGAACAAAGAAATTTGTAAAAAAACATTAGCATACCTCCTCCTATGTAACATTTATTTATTTTTTTTCAGAAAATCCCCCTCTAGCAACATGTCAGTGATTCAGACTCAGTTGGAACTGGTTAAAGCCAGAAATTTAATATGGCTGTTTTATGGACTAATTAATCTTTGACCATATCGTCGTCTTCTTACGACTATCACCGAATGAAATCAATATAAGAAATTGTGTATGCCAAGCATGACTTAACAAAAAAAAAAAAAAAAAAAAAAAAAAAAAAACAATAACAAGAAATATGTTGTCCACCCAAATTAGGGAGTAGCCATTTTTTTGTGGCTCTGCTGATGTTCTTTGTGTTGAAAAAGGCGTGTGGCCTCTTACAGAGAATTTCAATTTTTTTTTTATTTTTTGGCAAAAAGAAGTTAAAAAATTTTATGAGATTTTTTTGGAGGAAAGAAATAGTTTTATTGCCCACAAAATTTAATGACATATTTTATTGCATTTAATTTTAATTTAATCGTTTTTTTATTTTTAATTAAATTAGTTTATTGTTTAAATGACTCCAAGGTAATTTAGTTTAATTTCAAACTTGTAATTTCCAATCAAGCTTAAAAATTAATCAACAACAACAAATCCAAACAAAGAACTTTGGTTAGTGACCAATAATCACAGGTGCAGGTTTTATAAAAGCCAATCAGCCAGACCGCCAACCAACAGGTGTTCATATTGGCAAAATATTTTTGCATTTTTTTTTTAATAAATTCTACAATAAAATTTATTTCACGCATGGTTATAAAGGCCCATTCTTTGGTGGGCGTTCAACCCATAACATGATGGCAGAACAATTCATGAAAACGAGTTTCTAAGCCTCTTTTTCAATTTCTAAACAAAAGAATCGATTAATTTTCTTAAACCGATCCTACAAAGACGACAACATTTTCATTTGCGTCTTATAATGGTTTCTTTTCCTAAGGTCCTTGACTTGTGAGACTCCGTTTTATATACATTTTTTTAATTAAAAAAACAACTCTTTATTTAATTACTAATTATTATTTTTTTGTTTTGTTTTTTTTTTTTTTAATAATTTTTCAAAACACACATTTATACTTTAAAATTAATATGAAATAGCACATTCGTTTCGTACAAAGTTCAATATTGGCCAATTAAAATTAAAAATGATAACTTGGGGCTGGCTGTGTTTTGTTAAGCTGTCGCTGGGAGGGAGTCAAGAGAGGGGTGGAGAGAAACCCACACAAATTTCCAAGAGTTTTGGATAAAGGAAATTGTAATTTGTTGTAGTTGTTTTTGTTCAAAAAAAAAAAATATATAAATATTTCGTTGATGTGTCTGTGTGGTGGTTTAAATAAAAACCAGATTTCATTTCAGTTATATTGTGGTTACTTTTCTTACATATCAAGTGGGTAACTGTCAATGGTACAACACTGATTTTTGCCATAGACAAAATACACACAACACAGCAAAGCAAATGAAACAACAGCAATAACAAAAATGCAAAAACAATGATATCAAATAGGTGAGATCGCAAAATCAAAAAACTATCTATGAGCAACTCACAATGAGTTGGCCACAGAGTAGGAGAAATAGTGAGATACACACAGTGTGAGGGGAGTGCGAAGAGGAGTTTGCCATGTATTCGTGTGTTTGTGTGTGTGTCATTGTGTATGACGAGCCCCACATTCACCATACGAAGTTTTGTTGTTGTTACTTAAAACAGCCAACTCAACAAGAGCCAAGTTTAGCTGTTTATCACGAGGAGCATGTAATGTGAGAGGGGGAAAAGAGAGATGGCGGCAGAGAGCCATTACACATGCACGCTGTGTTGTGTGAGAATATGTAAAAACAAATTGCAAATAATACAGTGTTTTTCAAGTATGTGCAATGGCCAGCAGCAGTAGTGTATATTTGAAAATATATATCTATTTAGCATTGTGTGTAGTTGTTGTTAGTGGGCAAAAACAAAAAATGTGTTGTAAAATTGTTGAAATTGTTTTTTTTTCTCTACAGGTGTATATGTGTTGGACAATGTTATTCATCATTTAGGTATATGCGAATGTTTTGCAATATAAAAACAAATTGTAAAAATAGAAATACATGATGATATTCATATAAAATAAAATAGAAATATATTCTAGTTATTTCTTTTTTTGTTGTTGTTGGCATGTCATTGGTGTGCTGACACACACACATACACTGAGCAAAAAAGGAGAAATATTAAAAGCATTTTTCAGGGCCAATGTTGCCAAAGTGCAATGATAACAAATCATATTTTGATGCAAAGTGGAGGACTAATGAGAAGAAGAAGAATTCATTATCATGTGGAAACGGGCCAAGGTATTCAGTTTAGAAAAACAGAATCTATTGGAATTGAGTTTTCTTTAAAAAAAATTGAAGGCTTTGTTTCTTTACTTATTAACTAAAATTTTCTTTACATTTTTATTTTAACTGCCAAAAAATATTTCACTTTATGAGTGTTCTAGAATTTTTATTGATTTTCCTGGTAATTTGAAAAATATGTTTATTTCTAAAATCTTAAAATTTTTATTGTTTAGTTCTCCCTGACATTGTAACGTGGAATGCATTTGAAATTTTTGAGAAAAAGCCAAACTGATGCTTATTTTCATTGGTCATAAGTTTATAATTAACACAAAAATAATTGTCCATAATAAAAATTGAATTTTTATGGCCAAAGAAAAATTGCAGCTGTAGATGTAGTCAATAAAATTTATTTTTCTGTGTGGGGGAGGGTGTGGGTGAAAATCGATGACACATGCCGCAAACAAAATATTTTTACAAGATGAATCAGATTTTGTTGGGCGTTAATGGAACAATGTGCAGCAGATAATATACAAAATTTGAGATAAATAATAATTTAATAAAAATTTAAGGAAGTTGAAAAACATTTAAAATGTCTTGAAAAATATAAAAATGGTCAATTAGGTTTTAATATTAATTTAATATTAATTAATATTAATTTGATTAATTTTTGCTATAGTTATCATATATAATGTCAAAAAATGGGTTCCTTGTTAAAATCTCAAATTTACTTTCCTTTTTCAATTATTTTCAATTTTGGAAAAAATATTAAAAATCAAAACAAAAAATTCAATATTATTATTATTTTGAATTTACATCAAATCTTTGAAAATTGATTTTATTTCTTATTTAAATATTTTCAATTGTATGAGAAAAATATTAAAATTCAAAAGAAAAACTTAAATTGTATTTTGCTTTATTTTTGAAAATTAAACCCCTCCAAAACAAATCTAACCTCCCACCACCTACCCTCAAAAAGGCTGTGGGTTTTTTGTGGTGGTTATTCGAAAACCGCAATAAATCATTACGAATTTAAAATTGTAAATTAGAACACGGCGACAACGACCATTGAACGGCGAGGCGACAGCAGCACCTCTCGAAACAAATCTGAAAATAAGTGGTGGATATGATATAGTAGGTTGGCGGTAAGGCAGGAGGTGGGTCAGATTTGGGTGTCTAGACTTTGGTAGTGAGTGAATGAGCGGCGTTCGCAAGTCAGTGGGGCGACGCGTGTAGTGTAGTTTTATATTGTCGCTACGATTGTTTGATGTGATTAAAATACAAAAAAAAACGAACGATAGAAAAAATTATAATCATTTATAATTCTTATAGTAACAATGTATATGGGAAGGGGGAATAGTATAGAAAATGAAAAGACAAAAAAATGTGATCACGCGATTTTTGTTGTAGAAAAAAAAATTGCAAAAAATTGTATACTTTTAAGGAGGCTAGGAGGAGAGAGAGAATGGATTTTCATATGAATATTCCAATAGTTATATAACAACAACACAAATCATTTGAAATAGTAACAACCTGTAATTCGAATTTAATGGGAATGAAATTGTATTGAAACAAATCCCATTTAAATGGCTTCCCTCTTTTTGTGTTGCTGTTGTGATTTGATTTTCACAAAATTACGTTTTACTTTTACAAAAAAAAGCAGTTAAATTGTATTTTTTGTAACAGATATTTCACATGACAATCTGTTGTAATTCAAGGCCAATGGTTGTAAATGTATTGTATTTGAAAAATACAAATAATTACATTTGATTGGATTTTTTTTGTTTGTTTGGGGGGAATGTACTTACCCACCCTCCATGTAATATCTAAAGCTATCGCCATAAAAAAAAACAGACAAAAATGTGCTTGACCCTGATGCTGATAAATAAAAAAATACTATTTTCAATTACAAAAAAAAAAAAAACTATTTTCAACCTTTGTTTTTGTTTTCTATATAAATAAAATAGCTGTCAATCTGTTTCTAATTAAAGGTGACATAGTTTTTTTTGTGCTGTTAATAGGCCAGGCCACATAATGAGTGGTGATTATCGATAACTGTGTTATATGTGTCAGAAAAAATATTTGTTAAGGGGAGGAGAGAGAAACGAAGACGTTGTAATGAGATAGGTGTGAACAAATATTCATAGAACTGGAATATCTATAGTCAATTTTTTTGAAATAATTTAGTTTAAAAAATTTACTTTTTGGACGCCAA